ACGGACAGACGGACAGACGGACGGACAGACAGACATGGCTTAATCGATTTCTTTTTTCATCCTGATCATTTATGTATACATTTGTCTATATCTATCTCGATTCGTTTTGGCTGTTAGAAACAACCGTTATGTGAACAAAATTAATATACCCTTGTGCACAAGTGCGCTCGGGTATAAAAAAGGTAAAAGTCTCAAGGACAAAATGTCACGTCATTTACCTCCCCTCTCAACGAAATGGGCACATTTACAAAAATATACTACAATCGGCGCGATAGTGACTAATCAGTTCAGTTGCATTTGCCCCTGTACCCATAAAAGCGGGTTTTTCTTTTCCAACTGTAATCAATTCTTGTCATCGTGTCATCGTGTCATGGATTATTCACGCTGAGGTTTTAATTATTTGTTAGGCGTTTTTCTCTTTTATCTATCACAAAACTGACTTGGAAATGCGCATACTAAAGATTATTATTTAGTAAAATAAATGTGAGTACCGGTTAGTCAGGTCTTGAATTTAAACGCATGTTTTAGAGAATTTGCAGTTGATGAAAATATGTGTAATTTTTGAGTTGCTTATTATCTCGATTTTCTGCTTCTCTTTGCCTAATTTTGAGAAAGGAACTTTTCGAACAATAGTAAAATCCTCTCAACCGCTAAAAGAATTGTGAAGCTGCAGAGGGAGAGGTTACTGACATGACTGAAAGCCTGATTATGACAACTTATGATAATGTAACTTAGAACTTAGAAAATCAAAATGGAACAGACTTAGACGTGGCATAAAGTTACGTTTAGCTTCGCCTGCCCAAATATAAGCAAAAGCCATTTAAGAGAATTTTTAAGTGACAGCCTCTAAGTTACGTTAAAATGCCATGATTATACCTTTAGTCGCCCGCTGATCGAAAAGTGTTATAGGCGGAGTCAAAGTACTCGGCGGGGGAGTTACATCCACCGTACGCTGCGTGTAATAAATGTGCTCAGAAGAATAACTTAAGTCTCATTTATTATTATAAGATAGAAATAATTTTTTAAATTTTGTTACTATTAATCTTTATTAAACTGGTATATAAATTGTACAATGTTTACAGCAGGCATGTCCAAGCCCCTCAACAACTGTTCACTAGCGAGTTTTTACTAGATTTTTGTTCTCGATGCAATTTTTTACTGGAGAAGTTATTATGCACAACTCACTAAACTCTCACTAAAATAACTGATTAAATAAAATTACACTCTTAAACGTAAATATTTTCTCGATACATCATTTCTTTAAACATATTAATTTAATTCAAGTAGACTTTAAAATTGCCTGCAACCCTATCCAAAAATATGTCGGAAAAAAGCTCTCTCGTACCTGTCTCGATTGACTTGTAATACTTTATTTAACTTATGAAAAAACAGGATACGACTTTTAAACAAATGGTAACACTTAGTGAAATATTTTCAAAACAAAGAAACAAAGATTTCTTAAACCTCGTTCATTAGCCATTGTAAAAACGAAGGAATACCTATTAATCAAATTTAATTTTAGTTTTTAAATAGGTGGCAATTATTTCGTAATAAAACTTTTCTAAATCTTTGACGTTTCACATCCAGACTGTAAAATTTTGTTGATCTTAAAATATAAATTCTTTATATCAATCCTGGCCATAAGCTGTCTCACTAGCTTTCGCGTTTATAGTGTTAGTAAAATTACATATAACTTATCAATTAAATTGATTTTCCAAAGCTGGTGGCAACCGACGTCAAAAATGTTTTCGAAATAAATACAGCTTTCTTAAAATATTTAATTTAACTTATTAATTAAACGGATTGTAATTTTTTTCCAGCAACCCTCTGAAAGATAAATTAAATCATCCTTGAACCGCTTTATTTTGACACCTATGGTTATTATTGTAATAGTTTAATTAACCCTTTAATTTGTCAATTTGAAATTTTTAACAGGTGGCAGCCTCCGTAGTTAACGTTTTGGAAATAAATCGTTTTGGAAACTCTTGCGTCTGACATCCATATCGTTTTAATATTTTATTTAACTATTAATTCATTGGTTTTAGCTTTCGAAAAAGGTGGCAACGCTCTCCAAAGAATATCCCATTTGGTTATCCAGATTATGAGCAATCTGTGCGCCAAATTTCACTGAAATCCGTTAAGCCCTTTTAGCGTGAATGAGGTACAAACATACCCACACACTCAATCAGAAAAATAGATTTTAAAATTTATCTGGCGTCAAACACATTTTTTGGTAACAAAGTGTTTGTTTTAAGGGCAGATAAATTTTAACACCTACTTGAGAAAACGGCCTTTAGTAGATTAATGGCAAAGAATTGGAGAGTGTAAACAGCTGAAAGAGGGGAAATAGCGAGTCTTTTAAAAATTTAAGTTTCCAACTTATTCTTGCCTTTCTCCATATCTTTATTTGATTTTGTATTAACTCGTATGTCAGGTGAGTGTTAAAAAGCTGATAAGAAAGTAATAAGTTTGCTATAAGCAAACACTGCTGTCAAAATATCTGCATAACTTTTGCTCTAGTGTGCGACACTCTGGCTTTATTTATGAGTTTGTTTGTTAAACAACGTTGTCTTTTTTACAATTTTTGCCACTCTATTAATTCTAAGGGGATAGGTAGATATGTTAGTATTTTGAGGAAAAATGCATTGTCCGCTAATTGATATTTTTTCGTAATTTTTTGTTCAAAGGTATATTAAGTTGATTGGTGTTTTAGTTACCCCGCTAAAATTTTTAGGGAAGATGCGCTTTAGTAAAATTTCTAAACAATCTTCGACGTTGTACATACATTTTATTCACAAAGTTTCAAAAAACCAATGAACTGTGGAAATATTTCAACACTGTATCTTAAATTTTATATTTTTGAATTTTCATCTGACGTGCTTCTAATCATCGTCCGCATCACTTGAACCTTCATCACTGTTAGATTCTTTATCAGGAGAGCTTCCGGAGTCTTCGTTGCTGTTTTTGCTAGCAGGCGAACTTTGCGCTGATTCAGCTGATGGTCCCTCTGGTTTCACAATTGTACTCGAATTTTCATTACTGTTAGACTCTTTGTCAGGAGAGCTTCCGGAGTCTTCGTTGCTGTTTTTGCTAGCAGGCGAACTTTGCCCTGACTCAGCTGATGGTCCCTCTGGTTTCACAATTGTACTCGAATTTTCATTGCTGTTAGATTCTTTATCAGGAGAGCTTCCGGAGTCTTCGTTGCTATTTATACTAGCTGGAGCATTCGGTTCTGACCCTTCTGATGAGCTATTTGGTGATGGTTTCAATGAACTTTCATCGCTGTTAGAGTTATCTGAGTTGCTGTTGGAACTGGCAGTAGAGTTTGGCGAAGGACCAGTTGTTCCATTGGTAGTTGACTCTAGTAGAGGAGGGCTAGCCGTAGCAGTTGCGGGCGCCTCTGTTGTAGAAGGGTCTGCGGTGGATGTTTCTGTAGCAGGCGTTGATGATTCTTCTACAGCAGTTTCTGCAGTGGAATCTGTGCTGGTGTCTTCTGGTTCAAGTGTTGATGTTTCTGCTGCAGAAGGCTCGGTAGTAGACTTCTCAGATTCAGTAGAATCTGCTGTGGTCGTTTCCACCGAATTTGTGGTCGTTTCCACCGAATTTGTGGTCGTTTCCACCGCATTTGTGCTCGTTTCCCCCTCACTTGTGGTCGTTTCCTCCGCATTTGTGGTCGTTTCCACCGAATTTGTGGTCGTTTCCACCGCACTTGTGCTCGTTTCCACCGCATTTGTGGTCGTTTCCCCCGCATTTGTGGTCGTTTCCGCTGCATTTGTGGTTTCAACAATGGTCGTCTCTAGTGTAGTTGTTTGAGGAGGTGCTGCGGTGGTTTGTGGAGCTCTTGTTGGGCCCTCGGTAGTAGGTTTAGGGCGAATACCTTTTGGTGGTACATCAGTAGCTTGGCCGGGAAAAACGGACAAACATTTCTCCAATTCAATGGATCCAGCAAACAAATTCCAGCTAAGTCCATGTAAGCGGTAGCGTATAAGTATTTTGTTAATCCATGTATATTCCGTAGATGAAGCGGCAATATCACTGAATACATTAGAAATCTTAAATATGAGAGCAAAAATTATTAACTTCCTTAATACTTTTGAAGGAAAAGTTTATCCTGCAACATACCACATCGACTTGACAATCAAGTCGTTCATCCGACTGCCGAAGTCTACCGCACTCTTCGATAATCTCCACGAATTGCAGCTGCAATTGTGCGGCATCGTTTTTGCGCAAATAACGTTCTATAGTCGAGTCTTTTAGTCTGGCTGCATCGCGGATTTTGCTTCCAGCATTGGATACTGACTTCTTATAACGTAAATTATGCACATTTACACACTGTTGAGCGCCAAAGGCGTGATGACTGTTTTCATTAACATCCACAACTCCTTTTGGATTGAAGATGGCGGTGAATAAGTCCGCTGCCGCAGAAATAAGCGCACGATCTGCTTCGTCGTTTAGGAAACCAAGCCCTTCATTAGATGGACGTGCTGATACCTATGTACGAGAATATAAAAGTTTTTGTTTTTGAACTCTGTGGCCAATTTGTTTTTATTAAATTAAACATTTTTTTCGTGTAACACTCACAGTGAGCAGCGCTAAGCATGCTGCGTACAATGTTAATACTACTTTCATGTTCGTTGAATTTTTCGTTTCTAAGCGTTAAGATGAAGATATTTGATCTTATATCAAGTTGATGGCTGGTCTTTTATATGCGAGTCCACTAATCCATATGATTTATTCAAATTTGCAAAGTAAGTGTTTGTTTTATTTGAAAGATAATTGTAAGATTAAATCATACGTTTTCCGCAGTTTTTTTTAACCCTTAGGTTATGCAGCTAAAGAGTTATTCAATACGCAAATAGAAGATGGTTGACAAAACTCACTATTAGGGCGACACGAAAAATCTAGCTCACCCTCTGAAAGCATAACCGGCCACTGGCTACTGAGATGGAATGCCAAAAGAATGGGCCTGCCGGCCAATGACTTCTGTCGCAATTGATCTGATGAAAATATAACTATCCTGCCATTTCGTGGGTTAGAGATTACAATTACTCGTTTGACTATCTCGTGGTCCTAGGTTTAGTAGGCGGCAATAAATTTTTGAGTTTTATTAACCGATCGGCGAAATGAGGTCGCAGTTATGCAGAGCTCAATGCGTGAAGCGCTGGATGACGAATTCAACGGAAAGAAACTTCTCGAAAAAAAAATTTCGTAATACAACTAAACAAATGGCGGAGTGGAAACAGTGGCCGAAATGGTGAGATGCTACTTTCGTAATAGGAAGACAAATCATTTGCCCTAATAAAGTCGATATTCCTGAATTAAATGCATAAAACTACAAAAGCCACTGCAAACGAAGACATTTCTTTATTTTCTCTCAAAGCATCTGGCAAAGGATTGAATCGATTACAGAATGTGGACGCCATTTTCCCGCATTTTGGTCCTCTATTTTCAAATTCCTGAAAGGTTGAATTAATCAGATGATGTCAGTCTTGGCGCGAGTAGTGGCGAGCAAAATCTGCCTAATGCCTAAGATACCAGGGCCTTTACTCTGTACTTCGAATCGATAGTAAATTTGTTCGAATTAAAACTATTGATACTATAAAAGAATAAGAGACGGCACAGAAAATTAAAACTGTGCGGAAATGTTTGCAACGAGAAAAGCAAGACAGTCGTCTTAAGTGTAATGGACATGCCAAAAATCTATTTTCGATATGTTCTGCTCACTTTTTTGTGCGAAATGAGAGAAAAAAGATGAAACTTTTTATCAATCATACATACGCGTAAGCCTTTGGTTTGCCAAATAACAAAACAAAAGCAAAAATAATTTTGAAAAACTAAAAAGAAAGTATTACGTACTTGGCGCCTTCTTTAATTTGCACCAAGGTAAATTTTCAAACGTCTTAACCCTTGAATTTTTTCCTCCCTCTCTCAAAATCGCAAAACTAAACTTAATAAGCATAATTTTCTTTAATAGAGTGTTTTCATTGACATCCTTAAAGGACGTAAACTAGTACACGTCTCTCAAAAAAATAACATTATCTCAGCAGGGTTAAATAGCACAGTTTAAGAAAATCTAGACGATTTAGCTAATTTTATTTACGTTAAAAAAATTTCTGGAAGAAAAATATTGTTAAAATACGGCAATTTTCAAAAATTAAAAAAGAAAAATATTTTTGGCGAAGTTTTCCGAAGAAAAAATTGCATATTAACTGAATAGAAATGAGCGAAAAAATATCAGAAAATTAAAAACAAACAGTTGCTTTCAATATCAGCCGCTTTCACCAGCAATTTAAAAGGAAAATTATTTTTTATTTTCCGTCAGTTTCCATATAAAATTCAAAAAATTAAAATAATTTTTCACTTAAATTGCTTTCGTGAAATTGGCTGTATGAAAAATATCCTTAATTGATTTTTAATTTCATTTTTATTCGTTCTAACAAGAAGCACGTTGCCACGATTTCTGTTAAAATCATTTATTCAATAAAAAAATTATGCCTCGCCGCTGCAAAAAGTCTGCGCACAGTTTTCGCTACGTACATATGTATGTGCTAAAAAAACCTCAGAAGCAAAAAAAAAAAAAATGCTGGACCGAATCAACATATCAAGAGCTCTTTCAACGCTCATTGAAGAATTATTCATATTGAAAATAAATACAGACTTGTTATTAAAAAACTAAGTTTTTTCTTTCAATTTTCTGACATTTTTTCACTTAATTTCACTCAACTCATGGACTTGAAAAATAATCTAAATATCAGACGAATTGTATTTTTATTGATACGCGTTTTTTTTTTTTTCGAAAAAACTATGCCCAAGTTAATTTTGAAAATGTGTAAATTTTCTATTTTTCAAAATCGTAGTAGAAAACGGATTTGAAATCAGCATGAAAAAATCTATACGATGAGGTCGGTCTCTCGATTTCAAAACCGTCAAAAATTTGTTAAACCGTGTAGTTAGCAGAATGACCCGCGGGTTAAGATTTCTATCCGCGAAAAAAAAACGATCGAAAGCATAGGCAAAATAATAACTTAGATAATTTTATCTTAAATCAAATATTACTCATACCTGTTTATCTTGTACGCATCATATGAATTTCAAGTCAGTTACTATGTATTTACTTATCAGGTGCTAGACAGTATTCAAACTTATGACAGTTATACTTACATACAAGCATGCATACATATGTATCTACATATGTTCAGTTCATCAGTGCAGGCAAAATATCTTTTAATTTTGTTTTCAATGTTCTTTTATTGCAAAGATACTTTTCCCCACGAACTTGCTTTTCTTCATTCACAAATGGGGAATTCAGTGGTAATCATTGAACCTGAATTTCATTAACCTTCCGCTTCTCTGGTGAGAGGCCCGACTTACATGTCTTAAACAGTGCAAAACTTTTGTAACAAGAGGTGCCAGCAAAATCGAAAAAAAGTGGCGAAAATTCGATTAAGTGCAGGCCACCGCCAACTAAGTTTTAGTGTAGCGCGATTTCATAATAGATGTTTGAAAGTTTTAAGAAAAAAAAAACCGATATTTCAATTTGAATTCAGTTAATATTTTATTTATCGCATGCAGACAATTTATCGGCAAGTGCTGTATACTTACTATGTCGCCTTCTAGAAAATAAAACAAAATAAAAAAAATCGTTTATTTTTTTGCAAATCCATAGCTGATTATGCTTTTAACGAATAGACAACGCCGCAACTTATATAAACTCTGTAATTAAAGAATTTTTTCATAGAAATGGGGTCATTTTGACGCAATGATTGCAGAAGAGCTAATAGATAATATTCATTTAAAATTACTTACATATCATTATCTTAAATCACAAAGGCCCTAGCCAAGAGATTTTTTTATTTTAGAAGAGAAGCAAAACCATTAAGAAAAGATTGTCAAAACAGGTAGGGTTTATTAAAAAAGTGACATGTAACTCTTTTGTTTTTGTTACTAACACTTGAAAATATTTATTGAACGTGTATTTTAATATATCCTACCGAAAAACTGTGAAAAACGCAATTTCGAAAAAGTGTTGGTTAGGGCCTTTGTGAATTAAGGTAACAATATATATTATTAATTACTTTATTTTAGCCGATAAAATTTTAAATAATAATATTTGTCATTGTTTTACCAGCAATTTAAATGGAAAATGATTTCCTATTTTCTGTCAACTTCCATATAAAATTAATAAACTTAAAATGTTTTTTATTTAAATTGCTTTCGTGAAATTTTGCTGTTAGATGAACCCAAAATAATCACAATAAAGTTTAATTTTGTCAATATTTTTAACGAAAAGAAGTTTAGGTTCTGCTGAAGCCAAATAAGTTTTATCGTTATCTGAATATAGAAACACTCTGTCCAACATTTTTGTTACTTTGGTTGCAATTTTTTTCTTTACACTCATTTTTAACTGATGTAATATTTAATCTACCGACTTTACCACAGAGGGTTAGAGCCTTTATATATCTCGGTAATGATATACATCCACATATAATTGAAGTAAAGCAACTTGGGTATAATTTAAATCACACGTTTATAGGTTTTCTTTATAAATTCACTTTATTAAATTATGGGGTCTACTGGACCCACCAAGTTTCCGACGTTATTCTCTTTACTAAGCTTACGTAAGGTTAATTAAGTCATTGCATGTGATGTTATGTTTATAATTTCTAGCACCAGCATCGGGGCAATCTAATTAGAAAGATTCCTTTATAAAACGAAAGTGAGATTTTGCACTTTCCGCTATCATTCGGCCATGGCACTAATCTATTTTACAACTGGGGAAGCCGTAAAATCCAAGAATTCATAAACGCAGAAGTAATTCTGTTTCTTAGAATTTAAAACAAGAGAATATTTTGTTTTGATTTAACAAAAACCTGCAATCTGTTTGTGCACATAAGTAAACAACCTAATAAGTATTTTGTACTTTTCCGGCCGACCATAATTTTATACCCGAATTTCGGTACGTCTATGATTTTAAGAAACTACTGCTTGGAGATGAGATACTATAAATTTTTATTTTTTTTTAAAGAAGAGTGCCGAATTATCATGTCAGTAACTTAATTTTAAAAGTGAATGAGAATACATTTTATTTTACTATGCCCACTATGCCATAAAGTTTTGTTTTTAAGTGTTTTTGCCTGCTGTGTCTAGCAAGCAGTATGGCCGGGAAGACCCGGGAAGGCTACTTGGCCAATAGGCTCGCTACGTCATTTAACCGGTTCTCGATGGTTCAGATCATCGTAAATGTTTAAGAACTCGTGACACACTTATGTAGGGGCACATATTTCCTAACATTTGTTTGTTGATTTCAATATATAGAAATTCTACAAATTCGCTACCCCTGTCGGTGATTGATTTATATTGATGACTTTTATAAATAAAAGAATTCAATAACTGTTATCTAAGGCATATAATATAAAAATCAAAAATAATTTAAATTTCGGATTTATAATACAAAAATCAAAAATAATTGTTATTATTTTTTAATTTTGCGTAAAAATTGCAAATAAAAATTCATTTTCAAATTTGAGTCTCGGTGAAAAAAGAAATCGATTGGTATGTATCACTTAGTGGTAGAACATTTCCTTCATATATAATTTTCCCACGACAGTTTTCATCAATAACTGCTATGTTCCATTCCTGGAGAAAACATTACAACTGGATGAATTAAATTCGCTAATAATTTCTCTAATAGAGCTTTACATATCGTGTGTTCAAAAAGTATCCGGTCGACCCCTATCTCAGAAAATACTCACCAGACAAGTATGGAAAGCGCCATTTTGTTTGTTTACATTTGAAAACAGCTGAGATCACCTGATTTTCAATTCTCTCATTCTCCGCACAGAGTTACATTCAAGTTTCAGAAAAAACTTTAAAATGTAAATTGAGAAATATTTTAGAAAAATGTGTTTTTATTCATTTGAATTCAATAAAAAAGAAATTAAAAATGCGTGCCAAGTCTTGCATTTCCAATAATAACGATAAATGTGTATGTTCCAGGCAATAATTTAAAATATTTGTGAAACTTATCGTTTTGCGCTAAAATACATCAATGTGTGTGAAATTCGTTGTCATTGCTTTTGTTTTGAACATCATATTCGTGCCTGCCGGTGGAAAAATAAGGTAAATTTGCATTTATTTTTAAGAAAACATATAATTTAATATATATTTCTTTCCAGAGCGACATACGGACAAGTAAGATGATCATCGTTTAAACAAATGGTTTATTTTCTTGTACAAGCAGCCGTGGCCCGAGCAGCGCAAATCGTGGCAGAGAATTATAAGTAATAAGGGAAATAATAGTGCGATAAGAAACTGGAGCTCGGGGAAAACTATAATTTACGTCTCTACGCAGCACGTACGCATGTGTGGGTGCATTTGCGATTGTGGCCTAAGCAGCGGCCCGAAAAACCTTACCAAACCTTTTTTTATTTTACGCTTACATCAACGTTATGCCACAATCACGTGCCGCCGCAGCTGCAGCTAC